TGTTAAATTTCAGGGGTGGGACGGTAAAGAAAAATTAAATGCTAGTCACTGACGTGTCAAAGGGTTAATTAATGCACTGTCCAACAAGCTGGTAACGAATACCAAGATAACTATCTTATTGGGTAGCCTGCAGTGCAAGCGTCTCATCAGGGCAAGCTATCGTTATAAGCTCGCGATCGTTTATCCTATCGGCCATGTTTGATTTGGTGTCAGAGTGAACGGTGGGGGGAAGGAGGGGGGGAGGACGACCCACCCCTCTACTTATTTTTGACCGTCGACCGACTCCTTAATACAAATTTCTTTCTCTCCCCAGTCTTCCGCTGTCATTAAAATCAAAGATGACGGTCATAATTTTTGTTAAATACATATGAGCACTCGCTCGTCAAAATTACCCCTACCTTGCAGGCTATCTTGTTGGGACGTTATCTTGATACACCACAAATTCTCTCACACAAAAACAAAAGGTTTTTCCATCTTCCACCAAACCACCATCTGGTTGGTCCAAGGCATTATTTACTACTACACACAAAAAAGATGTAAGATCAAATCCATCTAACTACCGCCCCATTTCTCTTACATGTGCAGGTTGTACGATTATGGAGCATATAATGCGAAGTCATATTTCCAAACATTTATCCACGAAGATATCATTATTAATCACCAACATGGCTTTAGACAAAAATTTTCTTGTGAAACCCAGCTTATTTCAGCCATCAATGACTGGGTAAAGAGCATCAATCACCGCACTCAGACCGATGTGATCCTTCTTGATTTCGAGAAGGCTTTTGACTCCGTTCCCCACCAATGCTTATTATCTAAACTGAACTGCAATGGTATTCGGGACAGATCATTAGACTAGATCAAAGCCTTAGTCACCGACCGCACCCAAGTGGTATCGATCGATGGAACACACTCTTAGCCCCACACCAGTTGTCTCTGGAGTTCCCCAGGGGTCAGTTCTGGGCTCAGTATTATTTCTACTCTATATCAACGACATTACAGATAACAGCGCCCACGTGCGCCTTTTCGCAGACGACATCGTCATCTATAGAGAAATCAATACACAACAAAATCATTTTGCACTCCAATAAACTAGATAACTTTTGAAAATGGGAGACCTTTGGCAAATGATCTTTAATATCACTAAATGCTATCACTTGGGAATAACTAGCAAAACTGTTCCTTTTTGTCACGATTATTTAATGAATGACCAGACCATCTCCAAATATCAAAGCATCACTTTAATTCAGAAACTCGATTAGAAAACACTGTGACCTCATTTGTAGCAAGGCCAATGAAACACTAGGCCTTCTAAGAAGAGTCCTAGGTGACTGCAATACAGATGTGAAATCGAAAGCTTATGTTAGTCTTGTCCGTTCGCAGTTATAATATACCAGTTCTGCATGGAACCCTTAATTAAAACTAAACGTAATATTAACAAGATTGATATGGTTCAACATAAGGCAGCTAGATTTGTCTTACACGATTATTCTAGATTAAGTCATGTTACTCATATGATTAATTAACTCGGGGGGGGGACCCAGAACAACGTAGATTACTGTCTTAATTAACCATGTTCTACAAGATCCAGCAAGGTCTAAGGGTCATCCGCTTCCTCCTAAGGTTTTCCCTCTAAACAGGGCATCTCGGCTTCCAAATTATACTCCTCATCGCC